AGACGTCTTTTATGTTTTTCAATGCGAGTGGCTTGGGGGACGATCGGCGAAAGTTTTTCCGTAAAAATGGGCTTCTAGACAGAGTATGGACTAACAACTTTACCCTCTAGGTAGCTGTGCCACTTTTGATGGGAGATTAGCATAGATTGTAAGCAAATAAAAACAAACGCAATGGTTCACTATGAGAGAAATGGCGCCGGTGAGACGCACGTCGAAGAAGAACGGAATAAGGTAGAAACAATTTTTTTTTTCCTGATGATAGAAGAGAGTCTCCTCTTTCTTTTGGTGTGTTCGGTGTTTACATAGTCACAGCACAAACTATTCTGTGGCTCTTGAAAAATCAGTCAAAATTCTAAAAAAACTCTGGCAGTGAGCGACTCTCTGTTCTGAAAATGGCTGGCAGTAAATGAGTTAATATCTGTACCACTTTTCATTCAGTCTATAGCAGCATTACCTTTACTTCGCTGTACCTATATGTGTTATTGTGTAGGGTCCCTCCCCCAACTCCCTCTGCTCTCTTTCCCTCACCCCCAACCGGCCCGAGGCAGATGGCCGCCCACCCTGAGCCATGGTTCTGCTCCAGGTTTCTGCCTGTTAAAAGGAAGTTTTTCCTTGCCTGTGTCGCCTAGTGCTTGCTCTTGGTGTGAATTGTTGAGCTTCTGTAGATAACTTCAATAAAATTGAATTGAGTTGAATCCTCTTTGGGCCGCTGTCCTGCGGGTTTTACACATTTTCCTGCTTCTGCACACCTGATTCTGAATAAACTGGACCTCCTCTGGGCATTGTTGAGCTTTGCACCGGTCTGCTAATGGCTCTCTGATGTGAATCAGGTGCTTTGAATCAGGGACACCTCTAAAACCTGCAGGACAGCGGCCCAAAGAGGCCTGGAGTCTGACACCTGTGGCGTAGAGGCTCGCCTTATCATTAAAAAAAACAGTGCACAGGGAATAGTTTATTGTGCTTACCTTTCTTCTGTATTTTTCCTAAACAGCAAATCACTGCTTACTGAACTTTTTTATTAGTAAATCCTAATTTTCTGGCTCTGGGGTATTTAGTGTCTACTCAGGATCTTATCTTCACAGATTTTCTCACCATCTTACTTTTCTCCCTGTGTTTGAGACTACCTTATGGATGATTAAGGGGTATATTCGTCAGACATTATTTGTTCCACCATTTCAACAATTGTCTTTTTAGATGTGAATCTAAATGTGCAGAATGTGAAATCGGAATATACATTTAAGACAGACTTTATTGATCCCAACGTGTGTTTTTCAGTTTTTGATCATTTGGGACATGTGACTTGGAGTGAAAAGGAGCCTACCACGTCTTTGAGTGTGCGTTGTTGTTCCACGGTTTGGCCTGGTGGTGGCGGTAGTGCCCCCTCCTGCTCTCTTGGTTTCCTCGCTTTGACGGTCTGAAGAAGAGGCCCCGCTAGTTAGAGGCTGGGTCCATGCTCATTCTCTCCGGCGAAGATGGCGGACGTAGAAGGTGAGTGTGCTCGCGTTCTGTGGACGACACGAAGTTCGCTTTATCACCAAAGACAAACGCACAAAAAACTAAACGTCGGACTCGCTGTTAGGCCGTGTTGCACCCGTTGGCAGCAGGGAATGGCCAGGGTTAGTTTTTTTTTAAGTTTAAAAAAAAAAATTTTTTTTTAGCCATGCTTGTTCCCGACTTTGCTGCGTACTTTGCTACGTGAGCCCGGACTCAGTTTCGAGGTTTCTGCTGGTTTTCAGGTGGAGGTAGGACCTCCTTCAAGGCTCACGATTCGGTTCTTTATCAAATAACTTAAAAAAGGCGAAGGCGCGCGAGAGGTTGTAACATGGTGGGGGATGTTGGCCATGCTAACATACCGGGGTTTGCATTTACCTACCGAATTTACGCAGGTCTGCTAGTTTTAAGCACCGGTTTTAAACTAAAACTGCATTTTCGGTTCGGGTTCAGCAGTTCGGTTTTAGTTTATGTTGTCGTTTTATTGTTAAAGTCACTTGCAGGTGTTTGGGGCCCCGTTAGCTTACGGTGTTAGCTGCCGCGTGCGTACCACGTGTTGAGAGAGGCCCACGTGGGCCACGCCGTCTCCCTAAACGCAGGAAAAGAAGATAGTTCCTGATTTTAAACGACAGGGAAAGTCTTTTTTTCGTTCAGGGTGACCGGCTTTCAGCTTAATTTTGAGTACTTTTATTTATTTATTTTTATATTTGTTTATTTTTTTGCTCTTACTGTTTTTAATCTTTGAGTTTGTCCTGTGTGGAGGTGAAAATTTGTGTTTTTATGATTCGCTCAAATGGCCTGTATAGAGCTTTGATTTTAACTTTGGCTGACTGAAAGCGCTTTATGAATAAAGTTGAGCTAAGTTGATAATCAAAACCGTTAGTTTTACAAATTTGTGCACGGTGGCTTGACACGTGCACTGAATAACTCATCAGTGTTTGATTGTAACATTTTTGTCTCCAGTATCGGCGAAGAAAAAGAAGAAGGCAAAGAAAGTCAGCGAAGCCGAATTAGGGGTGAGCCAAAAGTTACATGTTGTGGCTTTTTCAATGCATTTTTCTATCTTTTTTCTCTCAAAGTTAATATTGTTGTTTTTGTGACACAGGACATCCAGCAGAGTGGCGACTTCTTCATCAAACCAGAGTCCATAGTCGCCTCTCTTGACACTTCCCAGTGGCCCCTCCTGCTAAAGGTCAGTCTACAGCCTAGCTGGACGGGTCCAGTGATGTGCGAATGCCCGTTAAACCCTGCACGGGTCTAGTCTCAGTTTGGTGACATGATGAACTAGTTTATCCATTCTCTGAGTGCTGCAGTCTTTGGCCCAGTCTTGGCCCACGCCTCAGTTTTTGGGGCTGGCCCACTTCACTGCGTTGCTGGTTTGTCTGGCGTTCTGCCAGGTGAACGGTAACCAGTGGAGGGTGACCGGACATGATTTCAGCCAAGACGATTATAACGTTCTGATCACGTTTCACTGAGACTACCATGAAGTATTTAGGAAGTAGGGTTGTCACGATACTAAAATTTTTAACTCGATACCGATACTCAGGAAAATACTCGATACCATTTTCGATACCACAAGGATAAAAACAAAGAGCCTAAAATTTAACTGAATTGTGTCTTTCATTTCAAAATGACCTGTTACTGATGTTATCGTGACTGGTGGCCCACATTAATGACCCTAACCCTAATCCTAACCCTCCAGCCTTCATAATGGTGAGAAATAAATATTTTTTGGTTAAACTTGTTTGGACTTATTGTACAAACCTATTTAACATCCCCTATTTTAACATAATATTATGGATAGAGTTTAATTCAGTGTTTACTAGATTACTTTCACTATTTTAAAATTAATGTCTATATTGCCATGAAGCAATTAGGATTTTTTTTGCCTGGGATCTTCCTATTGGTGACCTAATCAAAACGTCCGATTTGGATGTGGGCGGAGTTAGATATGTACTTGATTCAGGGTAGCATGTTATTATTAGCCATTAGCCGCAGCTAGCAAGGCTAACGTCTTGTTAATGATCATAAACAACGTAAATAAATACATAAATAAATCTGAGAGAAGGGGCGCAGCGACGGCAGGTCAGAGAGTCGCGCGCGGGCTCGCGCGATGGTATCGAAAATGAGTATCGTATCCGGATACAACATTTTAGTATCGATACTTTTGAAAATGAGTATCGTATCCGGATACAACATTTTAGTATCGATACTTTTGAAAATGAGTATCGTATCCGGATACAACATTTTAGTATCGATACTTTTTCGAGTATCGATACTTTTGACAACCCTATTAGGAAGGGATTCATTTTCTAAATACCAGTAATAGTGCAGTCTGGGATCCTAAATAGAATGTCCGTTCTACTTCCTGCAGAATTTTCACAAACTAAACATCCGGACTGCTCACTACACCCCTCTACCGAATGGCAGCAACCCTCTGAAGAGAAACATAAACGACTATGTCAGGTAATGTGGTTTTGCATCAAACGGGTGTCTAAACTAGTACTTGCTCAGTGTGGCTGTACTTGGCGCCAGTAGTTTTTTACATACTTGTACACATTTAGCACCTACCCAATTGGGGTTCCTTCAGGGCCTTCAGGTGAACCGCAGCCATTAAAAAAACAAAAAAAGCAACAACTGTCGATTTCCTAAATTCTGTTATAAATGTGTAATGCACTCGTCAACACGAAAGTTCACGTGGTATATTGTGGCCTTCATTGTTTGGCATGTTGCTTTCACATGCAAGGGTCACCAGCCCCTCTTTCTGTATGGAGCCCGTTTTGTAAAGGAAACTATGGTCCTCTCTAGCTGTGGTTTTGCTGTTTCTACACACCTAATTCTTCACGGTATTGCACCATTAGGTGGTGTAGAAGCAGGGAAACGACTAAAACCCGCAGGATGGCGGCCTAAACAAAGTAGTGGCAGGACATGTAGATGGGTTTAGTGCTGAGTAGGTCCTAACAGAACACCCCTCCCCACACCCCTATGTTTATGATTTTTCCCATGTCCCCACAGGTCCGGCTTCATTAACCTGGACAAACCGGCCAACCCGTCCTCTCACGAGGTGGTGGCGTGGATCCGGAGGATACTGCGGGTGGAGAAGACGGGCCACAGTGGAACTCTGGATCCCAAAGTCACAGGATGCCTAATTGTCTGTGTGGATCGCGCCACAAGATTGGTGAAATCGCAGCAGAGTGCTGGTATGCTCACTTTTTTTCTTAGATAGTGAGGTACACAATTACATGATGCTTCCGCCATGTTCCGGATAAAATGATTTAAGTGAAATGTGCTATGAACCAGTTTTCTTGCCACAGTAATTCTACAATGACATTTTCCTGTGGCTCTTATGTGAAGGTTTCTCCTTACGGTGTTTATGAAGCATCACATAGGACG